GACTTAGGTTCTTATATTAAACAATTAGTCTGAAGCTACACAGCATTAAGTGGTAGAGCAGGGGTTCAAGCCAGTTCTTCTCCTTAACGCCAGCGCCCAGGAGCATAAACATTCCACTGCATTATTGTAAGTGCTGCTTAGCAGAACACACCAGCTATTGCATGGACATGAAGGCATTTGTGGTGTCCACGCATCAGCCTAACCCCAGGAAACCCAGACACAAGATAAGGCTCAGCAACCCACCATGTGGCTAATGGACAATTCTTCTAACCTCAACCTCAATCTCTTCACTTTGAAAATGAAGCCAGTGAATAGAGTTATCTCTAAAGTTGCTTAAACACCACTCAAGTTTCTTGATTTTGGGATCAATAGATATCACTCTTATAATTATAATATTCTAATTATAAGAATGTGGGCAATTTCTCTCTAAGGCAATTTGCGCATCTGTAAAGTGGAAGTAAGGCTAGCATCTCTTTATTCACATGACATAACCCATGTAAAGCATTTAACATAATGCTTACAACATAGAAAGTACTCCTATTACCCGCTTATCATCATCATCATGTTATTATTATAAAAATCACTACTTTATTAATACTGATGTTAGTAATAAATACCAAAGTATTCATTGTACCCTTACAACTTATTTTGACTTCCCCTTGATGTCACAAGACTACCTGAAGGGACCAAAAAGGATCATTAGGGAACACCTCTGTAAAGTCCCAAAAGGCAAATGTCTTTTCACCAACTGACAGGTGAGTGGCAGCTATGGGCCAAGAAAATCTCATTCCACATTTATTGCATCCTGATCGTATCATGGTGAAGTGTTTAAGAAGCAATAAAAAAATCACTCTCTGGCCATAATAGATTAATGTAGCAGCAGGCAAAGCCCCAAGACACTCTACCATTTGATGGAGTGGTTCATTTTAACCTGACCTAAAAAGTGCCACTTTTTCCACAGCACTTTAGTGTCTAGCCATTCATAATTAAAGTGTGTGTAGTAGGGAGGAAGATAGAGGTCCTGGCTGGACTAAAGACAATAATTTCTCAAAAAAAGTAAAAACATTTTCCACAAATTCTCAAACTACAACTCATGAGATATGTATTTTTTAAATCAGTATCCCCAGTTTTAATGGAAATGGCTTCATTTGGCTCTGGGAGCAAACAAACATTGTGTTTTTCCAAAAGAAGTATTTCCACTGATGGTTTACCAGATCACCTTTTCAGTTTCAATGGAAAACAGATGATAATCCAGACACTGGATAACATTCTAATTAATGAAGGAGAAGAATGAGCAGAACAGTGTTTTTTTGTTTTGTTTTAATATATTGTATTGATTTTTTTTACAGAGAGGAAGGGAGAGAGATAGAGAGTTAGAAACATCAATGAGAGAGAAACATGGATTCAGCTGCTTCCCGCACACCCCCTACTGGGGATATGCCCACAACCAAGGTACATGCCCTTGATTGGAATAAAACCTGGGACCCCTCAGTCCACAGGACAATTTTCTATCCACTGAGCCAAACCAGTCAGGACCAGAACAGTGTTTAATACATAGAAGTCATTGAATAACTATTTGTTGAATGAATAAATGGATGGCTGTGTCATCCCACATTTTACTTAATTTTAATCTCTCTGAGCTTCATTTTTTTTCATTTCTAAATAAGTCCTACCTTTTGAGGTCAGTAGAAAATCACCAAAGACATGATGTCGATAAGCAGGCATGGAATATGGGCTCAGTTAACAGTTGTTATTGTGATAATATGGCTCTACAGCCTGCTCCCAAAGCAGCCATGTCTTCATGAAAACATCACTTTATCCTGTGGAGAGATCAGTACAAATGCCTTGATATCCTCTGGCAATTTTCCGCATGACAATTAGATTCATGAGGGAAGCAAATTATTGCTGTTTACTCATGGGATTTGGTGTGTGTCAAATCCCCATGGGATTCTGGTCAGCAGTTCCTCTAGATGTAAAAATTTCTTACAAACCAGTGGAGGTAGCACATATCAGTACAGTCTTTGCAGGAAACAATGTGACTGTGCATAGGAAGAGCTTAAACCCTTTGGTGTTAGGATTCTCCTACTGGGATGTCAGAAAGAATGTACCCCAGGTGCAGTCACTAGAATATTAATGACATCATTATTCCTATGTAGTCAAAATGCTACAATCCCCTTAATATCCAACAGTATGATAAATTCAATGGGTATATTATTATGCAGCCATTAAATGTCATGATATGAAATTGTTCAGGATATTTTGTAAAGTTAAAAATTAATAAGATACAATACCATATTCTTGTATTTTCCAAATTTTATTCATAAAGCATATTAAAATGCACTATGTATGTGATCAAAATATCTTATAGTAGTAAAATTATAGGCAATTTTTATTTATTTTAATTTTTTTCTGTAGACAGAATATTTTTCACAGAACAATCATATATATATTTTATGACAGGCACTGGCCACCAGGGGCAGATGCTCTGACCAGTAGGTTAGCTTGCTGCTAAAATCCAGCAGATTAGGACTAGATGAGATGGGCCCAGCACGCCCTGGAACTCTCCTGTGCCCTCCTTCCACCCTGCCCCAATAGTGCACCAGTGGTCCTTTAGCCTGGCCTGCACCCTCTCACAAACCAGGACCCCTCAGGAGATGACAAAGAGGCAGTTTCATCCAAATCCCTGCAGACTGGAACGAGGGACCCCAATGTTGCACAAATTTGTGCACCAGGCTTCTAGTTTGTTAATAATCAGACAAAATGTCATTAGAACATATAATATACAAATCATGGGGGCTTATAGAAAGTAAAAATATCTTCTCAAAGAATAGATGAGTGAGGACTTCTCGCTTCCCCAAAATTTGGCAGCTCTTCTGCTTCTTGGGTCCTTCCTGTGTGAGTGAGATAGTCCTGTTGAAAAAACATATCCTGAGATGTTGAAATATTATTGGACATTAGAGTCATGCACTTGCGGGAGAGGGAGGTCCCTCAGGCAGGCCTGTGCCCTCTTACAATCTGGGAGCCCTCAGTGGAATTCCTACTGATGGCTTAGGCCTGCTCCCCTGGGAGGAATGGACCTAAGCTGTCAGTCAAACATCCTTAGCACCACTGCAGAGACAGGAGAGACTCCCACAACCATTGCTGTGCTAGCCAGCTGTGAGCCTGGCTTCTGGCTGAGCAGTACTCCCCCTGTGAGAGCTCACTGACCACGAGGGGGCAGTTCCTGCATTGAGCATCTTCCCCCTGGTGGTCAGTGCAAATCATAGCGACCAGTCATTCTACTGTTTGGTCAATTTGCATATTAGCCTTTTATTACATAGGATGTTAGCTTGAAAATGTCATAATTGTAACATGACACCAGGGGAGAAGACTTCATACTGCTAAATAATTTCATGATGGTGATACTGAAGCATCAGTGGGTATCTTTTTCAGACATATTTCAGATAAGCCTCTAAGACAGACATTGTGAACAGTTTACCAAGTCTGTGTTGTATTTTTGTCTTGGACACACGAGACTTCTTTTTGTTTTGAGTGGACATATTCAATGATTTCTAACATAAAATGAGAGTAGAAACCATTTTGCCACTTCAAAACCATGTTTGCCACTGTTGTAACAAATAGGCCCATAAACACCTTCCATGCACACTTCTCAAGGTCTTTTTCTCTTTCTAGATAAGACAATCATGAAGACTTTAGAAGGTACATATTGAACATGGCTAAGTTTGCATTAGCCTCTCTCCCTTAATGACTCTCAGGAGAAGGACCATCAGTTAATCTGTTAGATGAACAAGAAATAGACTACATTCTGTTTATTTTTTCTACATATTGAGGGGCCTATTTGTTACAGCGGCAAGAGAAAACCTACCTAATACAACCACATTGTCTATCATGTACACTTAGCTGTATACATGGCCTTGCCAAATTCATTCTTTATGAACAGATGGAGATACCGCTTTTGTGGATGAACCACTCCCTGATTAAAGATAGAGAATAGTCTATTTGTACCATTTTTAAGTTGGCACATAAAATCAATCTTCACAATTTGCTTGCTTGCTTTTTTGCTCATTTTTAATTAAATTATTTATTTATTTTTGGTCTTTGGGGGGTCATTATTTCCACAGGGTTCATCTAATCCAAAACTTGTGGTGACCTGGAATGTCCCAAACTGACACACCAGCTCTCCCAGGGGCTACCTAATAATAGTGCTTTACCTCAAAGCCTCCAGTTCTGCCTGTATAAATGGAGATACCCAAGTCATAGGTTTATTATAAAAATTAAGTGGGAGAAAAACACACTGACAAGTCCTCTAACCACAGGTTTATATTGAAATTATTTAAAAATCTGTTTATGGATCAGAGTTCCCACTTTTCAAACAAATGATCAATACCCATGAGTCATAGATAATTCTACCCATAGGACAAAGGTGGAAATTTATTAACTTCAGGCCTGTTTCTTTTCAGACCCTCCCCTCCAGAAATTAGAAAATTGTGTGGTCCTGCCTTATTCAAGGTCACACTGTTACAAATTTTTAACAGACATTAGAAATGACTCTTGGTAGAAACTTCTTGGGCCAGGCCACTTATGACCCAAATCGAGCACCCATTTTCTCGTTGAACTACAGGTTTTCTGGCTCAGCAAATCTCCAGAGAACACAGCACCAAGATCTAGCAAAGCCCACATCATAGGTATCTTGCAATATGCTTGATTTATGAAAAGCAAGTAATTTCCTCTTACTTCTTTGATAATAAACATATGTGTTCTTATAAGCAGCATTGTAGTTTTATATGCAAAGATTTTTGCATCTGCAATTATTTTTGTCTTCCTGTGATAACTGAGACAAGAAAACTTTATAGTGTGCCTTTATTCTCTTTGTAATAATGGCTGGATGGTTAGCTTTCTTGGTGCAGCTTTCCATGGTAGACAGCTCTGTTTTTAAAAAATGTGCAAAAATTAATTTTATGAACACTTTGTTCATATTGCTTCTCTACCACTTTTTCCAGGAATGCCCCAGCGGTGTTGTTAACGAAGAAACCTTCAAAGAGATTTACTCACAGTTCTTTCCACAGGGAGGTGAGTATGAGTGAGGACTTGTTAATGTACTCTCAGTTAGAATTATGCTTGCACTGTTTCTTTTTCTTCTTCCACCTGGTGCTGCTTTGGCCTTGGGGAGGAGCAATGTGGTAATCAAGTAGCTGTCTCTCTGGCCCTTCCTCAACACTCTTTCTTGGTCTCTGTGGGGCAGGCTGAGCTTCAGCCTCAACCCCATGTTCTAGAACTTTCTCTGTGGTGTTTGCTCATGAGTAATGTTCATTGTTCTTCCTGTGAGGGAGAGTGAAGAAGGCATTGACCTACATGGCCGTTTGGTAAGGTCACTTCTCTTTGGGTGTTGATCTTGCATCCTAATCCTTTGCAGACTATTTATGTTGGCAATCTTCAGTTCAATTAATCTTTCATGGCATGACTACATTTTTAATCATGATGAAGAAAAATTAATATACACCATGCAAGAGCACATGAGTTTCACTGTATCCTAAAAGCAAACTACTTACAAATTAGCAACTACCCATGAGCGTGGTCTTTAGTTTAACACAAGTGGTATCATTGGTGCCTAGTACTATGGCTCTCAAATGCACAGTACTTTTGTTGTTGTTATTTTTAAAATTTATCTTTATTGTTGAAATTATTACAGATATCCCCTTTGTCCCCCCATAGACTCCTTTGCACAGCACTTTCTGACTATGACAGCCTGGTCCCATGCCTCCAGGCTCTCCCATGCATTATTGGTGTCATTTGATTCTCCCAACTCTCAAAATTAGGACACATGTAATTATCCTCGATTTACAGATGTGAAATCTGGGGCTGAGAGAAATTAAATGGCTTGCTGGGGGCCACACATCCATTAAGTGGTAGATCTGGGTTAGAAACTAGATTTCTTTGGAGCCTCACCCAGGGTCCTTTCTGATGTTTTTCTATTTTTAGGTGACCCTACTATGGCCACCCTCCCCCCATCTGAGAAAAATGAATGCCACTCTAGACATTATGTTAATTGGAAAGGAAACAGGAGTGCAAAATGATAATGCATAGGTGCTAGAGATGAATGAAAGCCACTGGACCTTTCTGTTTGTCCTTCAATTGCCCATCAGGATGCCCAGCTCAAATATGTCACACAACCAGTCTACTGCGTGGCCAACTATGTGTTAGGTGCTGGTAGTGTAAAAGTAATGAGATGTGGTACCTGCCCCCAAAGAATGTTCTAGTCTAGTGTAGCAGGTGGCCATGTCAAAATAAAGTGTGTGAGGATATAGAGTTTAAAAATATTATTGTGGGAGCAGAGGTGGGACAATTGGAGCAGCTGACGGAAAGGGAGGAAATGAAAACAAGGCCATCCAGACAAACTGAGTATGGGCTGATATAGTCACCATTTATCAGGCATCTGACATGTGTTGGACCCTGTCATGCATTACCCTTCACCTTCCAACAACCCCAGAAATGATTCTCCCTTTTTAATAAATGCAGAAACTAAGGTACAGAGAGGTTCATCTATTTCCTTTTCAATAACTTTTTTTTTAGTACTGTCCACTGAAAAAATTCACTATTCATCTCATGCCAAAATAACTCAACAGTCTCTAAATTTACCTCCCTGATTCTGACTGTCCTCCTTGCTTACCTATCATGATCGATTCTCAACACAAACTGAGTGATCCTGCCAAATCATGTTACCCCTCTGTTCTATTTGTTCCATCAAGGCAGAGGCCACAACCTACATAGGACCTGCACGTTGAATTCACTGGTGTCCTGCTCACTCATCCTTCACCATTCTCCCTGTGGACTCCCTAAGTTCCAGTTACACTGGCCTCTTACCCTTCATTCCCCCAACATGGCCATCATATTGCTGCTCCTGGGGCCTTTGAACTGTTCCTTCTGCCTCGAACTTTCTTCTCTCAAATATCCATTCAACATCTCACCACCTTTGCTTTTTTTCAAATACCACTCTCCCTTAAACTGCAACCCCTTAAACATCCCCCTTTCCCATTCCCTGCTTTATGTTTTTAGTGCTCAAGAGCACCTAATGGTATAAATCACTGGTCGGCAAACTCATTAGTCAACAGAGCCAAATATCAATAGTACAACGGTTGAAATTTCTTTTGAGAGCCAAGTTTTTTAAACTTAAACTTTTTCTAATGCCACTTCTTCAAAATAGACTCGCTCAGACCATGGTATTTTGTGGAAGAGCCACAGGTATATACTATTTAACCTCTTTTTGTTATGATTTATTGTCCCTTTCCCCACTGGAATGTCACCTCCAGGGGAGCAGAGGGTTTTGTCTGTTTTGTTCACTGCTGTATGCCCAGCTGTGGAACAATGGCTGACAAGTAGCAGAACTGGATAAGCACTCCTAGCTTACCTGAGTGAACAGGTTAATGACTGAGTGACATCACCTCACCTGGTGGCTATAGCCATACAGTGGAGTCATTGCTATCATAGGTGTTTTGAAAGTTTACAGCATCTAAATATTAATTATTTCCTTCAAAAATTAGATTCTCTTCTGTATTTCAATACAGTTGGTGTTAGCAATTTCAGTGGGTTGAAAGTGATTTCGTGGATTGTGGCCCATTATTATAGGAATTTAGACAACTTTCCTCGACCATCTCATTAACCAAGGGGCCCACAGACAGGTACTGATTGGTCATGGAGACCACTGCCAGATTGTAATGGTCCCAGTGTCAGCATTAATAAAGAATTTGGAATATTATTTTATTAACTCTTATATTTATAGATTATTAAAAACCATAGAATTTTTAAAGAAAAATCATGCTTACTATATATTTAAGTGTCTGCCAACAACATACTGCTAGGGAATAATACCAAAGTACCTAGCACAAATGGAAATCTTTCTTTTATATTATCTCCAATGAAAGTTATTAGATGATACAAATTAGATACACTTCCACATTAAAAATTAATTTTCACTTGAAAAATAACATTTGGGCATTAAAGAACATTCACTTAAGCACAATTCTTTGCAAAGGATTCTTGTTACAAAACCCAAAGGGATTTGGAGAAAAATTACTGTTGTACTCTTAAAAATCCTTTGACTGTGCACGCTAATTGAATGCATAAATCTAAAAGTAGCAGACATAAATAAAGGAAATGAAATATTTTCAAGAATAATGGCTTGCCATTTAAAAAAATTACTATCATGCATGCAAACTGGATCTTGCAGCCCTCCTACTAAAGGGAAAAAGGGAAAAAGGCCTAAGGAAGATCGGCATCTCCAATGGCAGGAAAATTCATACCACGGCCATCTTCACTCTCCTGTGAATCCATTTACTAAAGTTGCTGATCTGAACGCAACATGTTTATATCATTCTGGGCAGTAACAGTGATGGCTCCATCCATCACACTGTCTCACCATTTCCGCCAGGAAGATGCCTTGTCTCATGGACAGCACCTCCTGCAATTTGTATTGTGTCAGGCTCTTCGTTTTCTCGGCTGTTTAGGAGGTGGTTTACCACGTACAGCTCGTTTGGTGTTCTGGATGTCAGCACAGCTGGATTCAACAGAAGCTTCTTATTTGCAAGGGATAAAGCCTGCCTGTTGTAAAACAAGCCGCGTGGACGCTGAATATTGATGCCTTTACCTAGATCATTACTTTTTCAACTTCACATACAGTGCAAGCTTTAGCAGGATGCTCTGAGCTTTCTAAGCATTTTTAAAGATCATAAAATTGCAATTTCCTGGGCTCTTCCTGCTTACAGTGTAAGAATTTTGCACTTACTTTGGCTATATTGGGCATCTGATAAACAGCTATTGAAGGAAGGAAGGAATGAGCTACAGTTACAAAATTCTAAGTCAACAAACATTTATTGATCAGCCACTGTGTTCAAGGCACTTGAGGCACTTAGATGGACATAAGATTTTTCTTTTAATTTTTTAAATAGCCCTATCACTGAATATCTAGGATGATATTTGTAAGAATTTTCAGTGATTTGTAAAGGGCTTGTTGAACAGAAATTACTATGTATGTATATGAACCTGCCTTCCCATAGCAATGGTACCTCAATATTCAAATACTCTATATTCAAAAGCCAATTCCATACATTGTGCTTCAATTCAGGTAGGGAGTAGGGATTTGTGGTGGGAAGAAAGAAATAAACTACATTAGTTTCAATACTCAGATCTGAAACATGATAATCTAATATTCTGTGTATCAATGGTTTTTTAATGAAAGGGTTAATTGGTATGTATCATCATTGTGGTTTGGAAATAATTAGGTTAAGGTCACTGGACTAAGTCAAGAGTTTGTGGCTAGACTATACCAAGACCAAGGTGTGTTACTCAAGTGATTTACTTCTCTGGCCTCAGGTTGTTTCTCTGTGAAATGGGGGCAACATTTTTATAATATCTATAAAATGTGGAACAAAGTAGCCTCAGCTTGCTTTCTGCTCCAATAATATTTATTTCTAAAGTTGGCATTGAGACACCTTGATTTTATTACTGACTCTACCATCAACTAACTAGCTGACCTTAGCTAAGCTACTGAAAGTACCTGCACTTATTGTTAAGCATACATTAATAGTTAAGTGATATCCAAGATCTCTTTCTATATTAAGAACCCAAACAGTTTTCCCCACCTGTAAGATTTCAACTTTCCAAGTAAAATTCTAAAAAACTGAAGCAATCTTGGCATATCAAATTCAGTGCTGTTTTTGTTATATGTAAGGAAATATGAACTATCGGGTGATATGGGGGAACAGAAACTACTCATATCTTTTGCACCTTGAACTACAATGGAATCTAGAAATTAGGATTCTACTTTCTACTTATTCACTCTTTTAGCAAATATTTACTACTACCCTGTTTCCCCAAAAATAAGACAGTGTCTTATATTAATTTTTTTCTCCCAAAGTTGTGCTAGGTCTTATTTTCAGGTAATGTCTTATCTTTCCATGAACTAGGTCTTATTTTTGGAGGATGTCTTATTTTGAGGGAAACACGGTATCTATGAATAATACAGTCAGATGGAACCAGACCACAGGAGTTTTGTGGACAGTTTTTCTTTTCTTCACCCACCTCTATGCCCAGCCAGATTCTTCAGTCCTCAGCTTCTTCCTCTTGCCCAGTCAAAGCACATAGCATCACTCCCCTTCTTTAAAAGCTTATAGCATCTCCAAAAGCCAGCCAGCGATCCAAAGTTCACCTGAATCTTCAATAATTTTTCAGACGCAAATCTACTAATCCATCCAGCATGAAGTATCTAATTAGAATGCCGGTCAGTTAAACGTACAACAGAGTTAAAAAAAAAAAAAAAAAAAAAAAAAAAAAAAAAAAAAAAGGAAGCTTTTCAAGGGAAATATATTACATTTAATCACATGTCTTTAAGGGAGTTGAAATAAAAGGGTTGTGTCTATGAAAGAAAAATACCTAATATTTATGGAACATTTAATATATTCCTAGAACTGTTCTAAGTACTTTGCATATAGCATTTCATCTAATCTTTTTGTAATGACTCTATGAAGTACATATTGTTACAGTTTCACAGGAAACTCAGTCACAGAGAGATGAAACAACCTGTCCAAGGTCACACAGTTACTATTTGGTAGAGCTGAGTCTCAAGTTCAGGCAGTCTGACTTCACTACACTATTAACAACTGCTCTCTGCACAGTGTGCCTATAGGCTGTTAAACCGCTTCACTTCCCAGAGAATTGCAAAGGTACACTTAGAAGAACAGGAAGTCCCCTGGATCACGTGAAGGCAGACCTTGAGAGTGAATGTCCCACATGTGAAACTTTAAAGCTAGAGCATTTGAGAAGAATGGCAATTATGTATGCCCCTGTTTGCTAAATCTAAAAAATTCTCAGCACCATTTGTTCAGAGCCATTATTCATAGTGAATTCCACTTGCTAAGGTAAAGGCATTCACCCTGGTTGTATAAATAAGGTAACAAGAGACCTGCTTAATAAAGCTCATTATAAAATATGCAAAATCTTTTTTTTTTTTCAGCCTTGAAAACAAATTAAATATATGACTTGTCATCTCATATCTCCACAGGGCACTAATTTGTTCCAGAACTCTATATAAGGGTACTGTTGAGACCAATACAACTTTGCAAATAAAATAGACTGCTGGTTCTCAATAACTCTGTAATAGAACTTTTTGTTAATTCACTGAGTTGGTTGAATTAACTCCCAGTCCCATATTCAAATATTTCTTCCTACAACCCATCCATGCCTGATGGACATCCATTCTACATATGGTGTCTTGACATATTATTTGGACCCAATTATAGTAACTGTTTCATTCATTGAAAAGTGTTAGTAATTCATATGTTTAAAAATAAGCAATCACTTGCATCATATTTAGAGCTCCAAGATGCAAGAAAATCCCACCTTCATTTTGAGAAATATACGGCCTTCAATATTGTGAACCACTGGGGTAAAGCATTCAGGAAAAATAATCCATAAGTAGCCATGGGCACTTGAAAGCAGGGAAGGAAGTTTGCATGACCTCTGACCTCCCTTATGTGGGGAGGACAATTATCCATTCCAGCTACTATGACTTAGTGTTTTGACAACCTTTGAAAAGCAATTCATAAAGTAAAAGGTGAATACAAGTTTTGTTAAAATTTCAATAAAAATAAAGGTTAAAAGTTCTAAAACAGAAATGGATTTTTAACGGAAGATGAAAGGTAGAGCCAATGAGCTAAAAGGTTACAAGTTTTGTTAATATAAAAAAAAAAAAAAAAGATTAAGGTAAAAGGCTAAAACCCATGAGATGAAACATTTAAAATAATCAAGTAGATTTGATCAAGAGTCAAGCACGCAAGCACTTAAAAATGAAAACTGTACACTAAGAAAAGAAAACAGTATGAAAAAGTATGTGCTTTTAAAATAGGAAAGCACAAAGCTCAGATATTAGGGAGACAAAAGAGAAACAGAAGAGGAAGGAAGGAAGAGGTACAAGGGGGGAAAACCTACTAAGGGGAAGAGATGGATTTTAGAGTACTCTATTATCTTTACACAGCGTGATAAGACATTGGGGACTCAGAGCCTTCCAAAGCTGATTCAGAGCCCCAAATCCCACCCAGGACTTAGGCAGGGCAGGGGCTCCCTGCTGCTTGCTACCAGGAACTTTTAAGGCCACACAGTTCCCTTCTAACAGGGGGGCAAACACTTGCCAAGTCACTGCTGGCTCAAATTCACTGGCTCCGGGCTAACCTGGATTTTTAGTGAGAAAGATCCAGTTATGTGCCACTCTACTCCTTATTGACTGTGTGACTTCGGGCAAGTGTCTCAACCTCTCTGAGTCTCAATAGCTTACCTAAATTGTAAAATTGAGGAACAACACTAATAATAGCAATTCATCATCTGTGTCTCGTTAGTAGTATTTTTATTTTTTTACTTCTAGGAATAGCCCCTGCCAAGCACTAACCAATTTCCAGATGGGTCTCACTTAATCCTCCCACCCACCTCTGGTAGGATGACTCCTCCTGGAGCCGGTAACATCGTCCAAGACACCCAAGTTTTCAGGTTATTTCTAGCCAGAAAGTTACAGAGATGTCTGCCATGCATGGCCTCTATGAAGGTAGCTCACTCCTGTGAATCTCAAATTACAATCCTCTACTGAAAGGAGGTGGGCAACTGGGAAGAAAGCACCAGTTAAAGGAGACAGTACATTTTCCTGACTTGGACTAGGACTTTGGCATGTTATACAATTCTCACGTCAGATATTGAAACGCTGACTTAATAATATTCCCTTTTCAATATTTCAGACTCTACAACGTATGCACATTTTCTGTTCAATGCGTTTGACACAGACCACAATGGAGCTGTGAGCTTTGAGGTAAGTCTTAGACTTTTTCTTTAATGTGACTTGACTTCAGAGAAAGGGATTTAATCTTTTTAGTTGGAAAACTTGAGCTTGATTTTTAATTTTTTGTTTTGATCCTTTTATTCACTGTGTGTGTGTTTTTTCTCCATCTTTTTATCAATTTTTGATAGCATTACATTTGTCCCATTTTTCTCTCATAGGTCCCTTATTATCCACTCTTCCCCACCCCCTAATCCCAGGCCTCCACCACCCTATTGTCTGTGTCCATGGGTTGTGAATATATGAATATATGCATACACTTTCTTTGGTTGATCTCTTCCTACTCACTCACCCCTTTTATTCTTTTTTTTTTTATTATTATGGTAAGAATGCTCAACATGAGATCCACCCTTTTAACATTTAAGTGTGAAATATCGATACATTACTGTTGACTACAAGTACAATGTTGTACAGCAGATCTCTAGAGCTTAGTGATCTTGCTTGACTGAAACTTTTTATGCCTGTTGACTAGTAACTCCCCATTCCCCCTCCCTCAGCCCCTGGCAACATCATTCCACTCTTTGATTCTATAAATTTAATTGTTTTAGATACTTCACATAAGTGGATTTGTGCAGTGTTTATATTTCTATGATGGTTTAGTTCATTTTGCCATTATTGCACATTGTAGAATTTCCTTATTCTTTTTAAGGATGAATAATTTTCCATTGTATGCATATGCCACATTTTCTTTATCCATTCATCCATCCATGGCCATTTAGATGTTTCTATATCTTGGCTAATGTGATTAGAACTGCAATGAACATGAGAGGGCTAATATGTCTTTGAGATCCTGGCTACAATACTTTTGGATAAATATTTGGAAGTGGGATTGCTGAATCATATGGCAGTACTATTTTTAATTATTTTGAAGAACCTTCATACTGTTTTCCATAGTGGCTGTATCATTTTGCATTCTTATTAACAGTGTGCAAACTTTCCAAATCTTCCATGTCCAGCTCAACACGTCATTTTTAGTTTTTTCATCCTGATGCCTGTGATGTGATATATTATTGTGGTTTTGATTTGAATTTCATGATTATTAGTGATGCTGGATATTTTTAATATACCCGTTGGCCATTTCTATATCTTCTTCAGAAAAATAAATGTTCAAGTCCTCTGCTCATTTTAAAAATTGGGTTACTAGAATTTTTTTAAAATATTGAGTTATAGAAATTTCTTATATATTTTGAAGATAACCCCTTATCAGAAATATGGTTTATAAATATTTTATCATATTCCACAGGATCCTTTTTCACTTTGTTATGCCCTTTTCTGTACAGAAGCCTTTTTAGTTTGATGTAATTCAATTTATTTATTTATTGTTGTTGTTGCCTGTGCTTTTGGTGTCCTATCCATAAAATTATTGCCAAGACCAATTTCATGAAGTTTTTCCCAATTTGACTTCTTAGAATTTTATGGATTCAATTCTTAATCTATTTTAAATAATAATTGTTCATAGTATAAAGTTAGGATATAATTTTATTATTTTGGGTGTGTGTATCCATTTTTTCTAACATGATTTGTTGAAGAGACTATCCTTTTTTCCCCCACTGTGTATCGTTGGCAGCCTTGTCAAAGGTCAGTTGACTGTATATGCAAAGATATATTTCTGCACTCCTATTCTGTACCATTGACCTATATGTCTGTCTTTACACCAGTATCATACTGTTTTGATTATTATAACTTTGTAATATATTTTAAAATCAAGAAGTGTGATACCTCCAACTTTGTTTCCTTTTTCAGTATTTACTTGGATGTTTTTGGTCTTTTGTGGCTCCAAAATGAAGTGTAGAATGATGTTTTATAAAAAACATCATGAAGTGTAGAATGAAGTGTAGAATGATGTTTTATAAAAAACACCACTGGGATTTTGATAGGCATTGCATTAATCTACAGATAGCTTTAGATAGTATGGACTTTTTAGCAATATTAAACCTTTTAGTCCATGGACTCTCCATTTGTTTGTGTCTTTAATTTCTTTCATCAGTGTTTTGAAGTTTTTGATATACAAATCTTCCATCTCCTTAGTTACATTTATATCTAAGTATTTTATTCTATTTTTTTTTTTTTTTAGTGCTATTGTAATTTCCTTTTGGATAGGTCATTGTTATGGAAGTACAACTACTTTTTGTGTGTTGATTTTGTTTACTGAATTTATTTGTTAATTCTAGAAGTTTGTCAGTAGACTCTATGATTTTCTGCATATAAGATCATGTCATCTGATTTATTTTTCCTCACTAATTTCTCTGGCTAAGACTCCCAGTAGTATGTTGAAAAGAAGTGGCAAGAGTGGCTATCCTTGTCTTATTCTTGATCTTAGAGGGAAAGCATCCAGTTTATTATTCAGCATGATGTTAGCTGTAGGCTTTTTATATATGGTTTTTATGATGTTCAGATAATTTCCTTCTATTCCTAGTTTGTTGTGAATTTTTATAATGGATGTGTATTGAATTTTTTCAAAAGCTTTTTCTACATCTATTGACATAATCAGGTGGTTTTTAGCCTTTACTCTGTTAGCGTGGTATGTCACATCTATTAATTTTCCTATGTTGAACCACCTTTCCATCCAGGGATTAATCATACTTAGGCTTTGTATATGGACCTTTTAATGTGCTATTGTTTGATTTGCTTATATTTGGTTGAAGGTTTTGCATCTATATTTTCAGGCATATTGGCCTGCATCTTTTCTTGTGATGTCTTTGTCTGGCTTTAGTGTCAGTGTAATGCTGGCCTCCTAAATGAATTTGGAAGTATTTCTTATTCATCAATTTTTTGGAAGAGGTTGATACTTTAAATGTTTGGCAGAAATCACCAGTGCAGCCATCTGGTCCTGGGTTTTTCTTTGTTGGGGGGTTTTGAATTACTGATTCAATCTTCCAGTTATAGGTCTGTGCAGACTTCCTTTTTACTTACATAATTTAGTCTTGGTAGATTGTATGTCTCTAAAAATTTACCTAATTTTTCTAAGTTCTCCAGTCTGTTGGCATAGAGTTGTTTTTAGTAATCTCTTATAATTTTTTTTTTAATTTTTGTAGCATCAGTTGTAATGTCTCCTCTTTCATTTCTGATTTAGTTATTTATTTGAGCATTCTATCTTCTTTTTTAATATGTTTTTATTGATCTCAGAGAGAGAAGAGGAGAGGGATAGAGAGAGAGAAACATAAATGAGAGAGAAACATCCATCGGCTGCCTCCTACACACCCACTACTGGGGATGGAACCCACAATTCCGGCATATGCCCTGACCTGGTTCATGGGTCAATGCTCAACTACTGAACCACACTGGCTGGGCAAATCTTTAATCTTTTTTTTTTCCTCTTAGTCTAGCTAAGGGTTTGTCAATTTTGTTCATCTTTTCAAAATATAAAGTAAAAAATAAGTTTCATTGATTTTTTTTCTATTGTCTATTTCATTTATTTCTGCTCTGATCTTTATTTTCTTTCTTCTGCTAATTTTAAGTTTAGTTTATCCTTTGGCTGCCTCCTTGAAGTGTCCAGTTACATTATTTATTTGAGATATGTCTTCCTTTTTCATATTGGCATTTATTTCTATAAACTTCCCTCCTAGTACTTCTTGATAATGTTTAAACATAGACACACACACACACACACACACATACACACACACACACAAAAAAAAAAAAAAGCCCAAGAATTTATTCTTCCCATCATTGTATTGTCCCCAAACTGTCCTTATCTTTTAAAAGAAGTGCAAATTACAACACACATTTATTTTGCTGTCTGATATTATATATCTGTTTGTATAAGAAAAGTACATTTCCCAAATTACATGACAACAATCTCAGAAGACAAACAATTTAACCTTTAGAACATCTACTATAGGTCTATAACTCTGGGAAGTTATAGTCAAAACCCTGCCTTCTAAGGCTCAGAAAGTGGGGGAGGCAAGAAATAAATGAAATATAACAGAATGCTATATGCACCAGCCTGACAATTTTACAAGGAAATCCCTTTCCAAATTACGTACATTAAAAGATTTGTATTTAATTTTATGAAATGTATTTAATTCATTTTTATGAAATTAAAAATAGTTTATTTCTGGAATTTTTCATTGAATAATTTTGGACTGTGGTTGACCGTGGGTAACTGAAACCAAAGAAAACAAAAGGGTGGGGGGGTAATTGCTCTAGCATCTATTTATTCTGAGTCCAGACAAGAGCTGATGCAAGCCTGAACTACAATTGGGATTACTGGAGATGAAAAGGAGGAGACAAAATCAAGAGAAATAAACCTTAGTAGAATTATATTTCAATACAAATCTATCATATTTGGGAGGTGAAGTTCATTCAATCCTGGCCAGCTGCCTGGAAGGGGGGCTTTGTAAGGACAAGGTTAAAGGAGAAAGGCACAGCCCCGTGAGATGTCACTCAGTTAGTGGCCACAGGGACCAAGGCACCAGGATAGCCAAGTGCCTCCTAGCAGGTGCGAGGGCCTCATGCAGGTTGAATGCTACTGACATGAAGAATCTGGGCCAGGAACTTCATGTCCCCTCACATGCCTTAACCAGTCATACCGAGGAGAAAAGGGAAGGGAAGGGAAGGGAAGGGAAGGGAAGGGAAGGGAAGGGAAGGGAAGGGAAGGGAAGGGAAGGGAAGGGAAGGGAAGGGAAGGGAAGGGAAGGGAAGGGAAGGGAAGGGAAGGGAAGGGAAGGGAAGGGAAGGGAAGGGAAGGGAAGGGAAGGGAAGGGAAGGGAAGGGAAGGGAAGGGAAGGGAAGGGAAGGGAAGGGAAGGGAAGGGAAGGGAAGGGAAGGGAAAGCAGTGGCTCTGTAGGAGGTATGGACTAAGAAGACTGCAGAGCAGTGGGCTTTATCTCGATTGTGGCAGCAGAAGGAACCAGGGGGACAGAAGGGACATGTGAGAATGTCATAGGTACCAGGGCCCCACTGATGGCAGCGTACAGTCACCCCATGGTAACGTTTGCATTAGTGTTTACTGCACCTAACCTACAAGATGA